ATAGGAAGGTGAAGACGAATGAAGTTCAAGAGTCTAGCCTTGGCTTTCAGCTGGCTAGACAGTGCAGCAATTCAAAGAAACTTAAGTTGTGTAAGTGTGTAAGTAAGAGTTGTGTGTATCAGTGTGTATGGGTGTTTTTATCTGTTTTTCCGTGTGTGTTCGTGTGTTCTAAAAAATCAGAATGGGGAGGTTTATATAGCATTCAGCAAAGTAGAACAAATAAGACAAAGAAAATTAAGAGTTCACAAATAAGGTATGGAAATCATTCAACCAGTTAATTAAGGCTAAACCCAATCAATTAGTACGACAGAATCCGGGAAAAATCACTTAGATTAGGGAGAATCAATTAACAGGCAAGATTGAATTTTAATAAGGTAAGAAATAAGTCAGAGACCATTTATAGGTCGGTCAGAACAAATCAAAACCCATAAATCAGGTCAGTAGCATAATTAAGGAAGGTAGTACCAATTATAAGTCACATATAAGGAAAGAATAAATAAAAATCTCCGAGATACCAATTTTAAAAAGAAAATATAATTTCAAACCCTAATTAGGCAAATAAATCAATTGATCAATTTATTTAACCGGGCCAAAGTGAACGGGCAAGAACAGTGAGACAAATAATCGAATAACGGAAAACTTTAAGCATATCGAAACACAGAGATGAAACATCAAGCAAAGAAATTAGTCGAACAGTAAAGAAGAAAGGCCAGAGTTGAACCTTTAAGCATTTTGAAACATTTGCAGAAACTTAAAAGATGAAACCCTAGGTTTTTAGGGAAAAAATGAAATCGGTAGATAATAGCGGTAAAAAAGAAAGAATCTTAAAGGAAAACGATTAAATAAACTCCAGACACTTCAGATCTAAAGAGATCTGAACCTATTTGGCCAAAAATAGTTAGGTTTGTGCAAAAATAAACAAAGTTGTAAAAATCGAGTTTTAGAGTGGAGATTTGAAGCCACGAAAACACAAAAATGATAATATTCACAAACAAATGGTGAATACAGACGGGTTCATCAGAAGATTGGGGGATTTGAACCAAGTTTGTTCGAATCCCCTTGAGATTTCATCAAACATCAAAGAAATCGAACAACCAGTAGAGATAAGAGGCCGAATAGGGCCTAAGATCGAAGAGAAACCCCATGGATTGAAGGGGTTCAGGTGACGGCGGGCTAGGCTTAGGGAGAGGTTGAGAGAGAAGAGAGGAAGAGGGGATTTAGGGGCGGCGGAATTGGGAAATGAATAGGGTTTGGGGGGTTATGGGTAATTAAAAATGGTAATAGCATCCTAGACCGTTGATCTTTGAGATCAACAGCCAGGATTTGATTTGGGGTTGGGCGGGTTTAAAGATTGGGTTATTGGGTATTGGATCAGGGTTATGATTTAATTGGGCTGGGGTAATAATTTGGGCCAGGTCCGAAATTAAATCAAATTAAAAGAGGCTATTTGTTAAATACCCAATTAATTTGATAAAATAATTTATAAAAATAGCTAATAAATGATTAAAATGCTATTGATGTATAAAAATGATTTAAAATAATTACTTAGTATTATAATATAAAGGGTCATTTTCGTGTAAAATAAAGTAATTATGCACATATAGGCTATTGTTGCAAAGTTATTGCAATTATAGCCTACAGATGTAAATAGGGCTATGCATAAGATAATTAAAGCTTAATATAAATATAAATGATAAATTTAAGCAATAAAATTATTATAAAACCCTTTGTGATGCAATTAGTAATTATTTATATGATAAAAATGCTAGGATAAATTAATTAAAAATCCTATAAAAATGCAAAAATTATGGAAAAATATTGATTGATGGACATGCATTGTTTTGAAGATATACATGCATTTTTGAAAATAATATAGGGAAAAATTGGGTATCAACAGGATTCCTAACGTGTAGTATTATGTTATAAAACTAATAGGATTATAATGCTAATATCTAGAATTCCAATTATGTACTTTTATCATGAGTTATTATGCTTAATATTATAAGGTTATTTTTGTAAACCGATATTGTATTCATGCTTTTATAATAATATAGATTATTAATTATTAAATTGCTCTTCAGTACAGAAAAAGGTCAAGTTTTAATACCAAAAGAAAATAGACAACACTAGCAAATTTCATGAATTTTAAAAATTTTATGGACTATAATGATGAAATCAACAAATAATGTTAAAATTAAATTATAAAACCTTAACATATAAACTTATTGAAGCAATTCGTGAACCTAAGGAAAGTGAAATAAAAGTACTAAAAGAATATTCATGTAACGTTAAAAAAAGAAGAGCTAGAGATATAGAGAATTTGCATTTCAATTACGAGATTCCTTGTCAAATATCATTCTTGTATAATCTGGATAAACAGAAGTCGTTCATATGATTAAGAGATTATGTCACGAAAAAATATCTAAAGATTTGATGAAACATTTTTTCTAAAAAAATTGAAGGGCCAGCCCGCCTTAGTGCGCGACCCTCTTAGGGCTGGGATGGGCTGGGCATTTTAAAGCCCATATAGATGGAGGGCCAGCACGCCCTAGCCCACAAAATTTAAAAGCTCACGAGGCTTGGGCTCGGCTAGCCCGTTTTGACAGCTCTGCTTTTAAGCATATTGTTTAAAATATATTCACGGTTTACAATATATTTAAAGATTAGTCAATTCGCTCAAGGCTCGAACTTCTGGACATTGTGTCCTAAAGTCCGAAAATTGTGTCCAAAAATTTGAATCTTATATCCTAAATTTTAAATTTTAAATTTAAATTCAAAAATTCAGGACAATTAGTCCTGAATTTCAAATAATATTTATATTTCTATACCACATAGAAAATTTTTTTACCCTACATGTTTAAGGTTTGAGTAAATTATACTTAGTATACCAAATTAACAATCCTATACCATACTTAATTAAGGGTCTAATTAATGGGCAGTTTTTACTCCTTTTTTTACTCCTTAATTAAAGGTATCCATATATCCCACGTTTCTCTCTCCTAACCCCTCACCCCCACCCACGTTTTTACCCATACCCCACATTCTTTTTACCATTTTCCCTCTTCTGAAACCAAACAAAATTCCACATCGATTGTGTTCTGCTTTTTCACATCACTGATGAATACTCAACATTTTAAAAGATAACAGAGAGCCATTATGTCTTTTGGAAAAGTCAAAAATGAAAATAAGGCTTTTAATTTTACCGGATCTCATAATGCCTGAAAATGCAGAATGTTCATTTCCGGACATACAAGGATGAAGCGGCTTTGGCTAGTGATCATGCACGAATGAGAGAAATGGAAGCTCTTAATCACCTCTGTGTGAATCATGTTGGTCAGCAACTTTATTCTTTAGTGTTGTCTTCCAGTGAAATTCCACTCTCTTCTCTCTAATAGTTGCTCTGTCAGGTCGATAGGTACATGGAACTTTGGAATAAGAATGATGAGTTCAGAAAGGAAACAAAAATTAAGGATAATCCCCTACCCCTTCTTCTGACTTTGATTCAAAGATTTAACTTTTAAATACCAAGCTTCACCCTGAAACCTTAAATTGACTTGTAGTTTTTTTGAAGAAATTTTGTAGATGAAGAGAAAATTTTGTAGTCAACATTTTTTTCCAACATAAACTGTAGTTTAATTGTAGTATAAGTATAGTAATTTTATAGATACTCTTAAAAACAATACAGCTTTATACAATACTTAAACTGATTTGTAGTTTATTTGTAGTTTTTTTGAAGAAATTTTGTAGATGAAGAGAAACTTTTGTAGTCAACATTTTTTTCCAACATAGATTGTAGTTTAATTGTAGAATAAATGTAGTAACTTTGTAGATACCCTTAAAAACAGTACAACTTTATACAATACTAAAACTGATTTGTAGTTTTTTTGTAAAAAATTTGTAGATGAGACCCATTTTTTAATGTACAATCAATTAATAGTAATTTTGTAGATACTCTTAAAAACAATACAGCTTTATACAATACTTAAACTGATATGTAGTTTATTTGTAGTTTTTTGAAGAAATTTTGTAGATGAAGAGAAAATTTTGTAGTCAACATTTTGTTTCAACATAGATTGTAGTTTAATTGTAGTATAAATGTGGTAACTTTGTAGATACCCTTAAAAACAGTACAACTTTATACAATACTAAAACTGATTTATAGTTTTTTTGTAGAAATTTTGTAGATGAGACCCATTTTTTATAATCAGATTTTTCCCATTCAATTGTAGCATGATTGGGATTTTGCATTCTCATCTACCACAATGGTATTAAATTCAAAATCTCTAAATCTGCCATAGTTATCCCAATTCCAATTAAATTGTAGCATGATTGCGATTTGGAAATGATTTCTTGTTGTTGTTGATGTTGTTTTGGATTTCTATATTGAGAGAAGAAAAGACGAAGAACAGATATATATGAGCGACAATTTGATAGAAGAAACGACGAAGAACAGATTTTATCAACTTTGAGTTGTTGAAACTCGAAAATTTGAATTCTACAATTTGAATTCAGTTCGTCGAATCTGTTAGTAGTTGAATCTTTCGTAATTTTTGTAGCTGTTCGTTCTTTTTTTTTCCGAGAATTTGAATTGTAGTTCTGGAGAAAAATACGCAGATGAGAAATCTCCTTTCCCTTTTTTAAAATTGAATTTAATGTAGAATCAATTAATACCAAGATTCTCTCCTTAATTTTAGCTCGTTTTTTAGGGAATATTCTGCCCTTTTAATACCTAATAGATGAATGATACAAAAATTGTAGGTAAAACGTGGATTGGGCGGGTAATTTACATACTATGCACATTTTTGATAATAAAGTTTCACATATGGTATAGATAGGAAAAAAGTCCAAATATTGATAAGTACTTGAAAAGACACTCCATTATAAGCCCAGAATGAGCCCACTTTTAAGTAAATCGCAAAGACTGCACAGGCAAACATTGGGCCTAATGAGGAACTAGTCTGGGGCCTTCTAATAATAAGCCCATCTTACTGCGTAGAGTCGATGACTTGTTGAAGACGAATCATCAATTCTTCCCTCTTTCTTCAAATTCAATCTTCCTCTCCAGCCCTAGCTCTCTCTCTCTCTCTCTGTCAACGAATTACCATGACGAAGCAGCAAGCCAACTGGTCTCCTTATGACAACAATGGCGGGTAATATTTCATTAATTACTATTGTTTCCTTTGTCCATGTCGGTGCTCATGTCCTATCTTTACCACTTTGCAGAACGTGTGTGGCAGTAGCAGGAGCAGATTACTGTGTAATTGCAGCAGATACTCGCATGTCCACCGGCTACAACATTCTTACTCGCGATTACTCCAAGATCATTAAACTGTACGTTATTTTTTTGTTGTTTAATTACTAGTTTTTTATTCCGTTGAGCTGGTTAATATTACGGAGTACGCTAATAATAGCTTATATACTGCATTATATATTTGATCGTTGGGTCAATGCATTGCAATCTCGAAAAATTAAGTTTGATTGGTAATTAGAAGCCTAGTTAGTTTAGTGTTTCTGGTAGAAAGTAAAAGTTATCATAAGCTTTGGAATAGGGGAGGACAGTAGTAGAAATTGGAGTGGCACGGAGCATGGCAAGTGGCTTGACCTTTTTTTCTATTAATTAGTGGCCTCAGAGCAACTGTCTGCCTTCTCTTTTTTTTTTCTTTATTTAAATACTTGGATAAAATGAAGTTATTTTGTGTTGGTAAACTATGAGTAAACTGTTAATACATAGTAAATATTTAGCAAAAAAATATTTAGCTTGCTCATAACATCAATGCTTCTGTGTTTTCCTTGAAAGAATCTTTGGTTCCTCTCCTGCCATAAGAATAGACACTCCCGGCCATCACCATCTTGTAGATTTCAGCTTTTACATTATTTCCTTTTGCATTTGCGATTGCCCAGTTGAGCTTATGACCCCATCCCATTTTTTACCTCTAGGGATGTTAATGTAAAGCTGTAAATAGGGGGCGGAGGGAGAGGTAGTTGCTAGCAGCTATAGGAAGTTGAGGTTGTTCAGCTTTCTCTTTTTGGGTTTTGTTTTGTTTGTACATTTTTTTCCCTGGTAAATAAAATGCATATTTACCAAAAAAAATATTTAGCAAAAAATCTATTTAAACTGCTAGCAAATTATTCAAATTGTTGTTGTTCCTGTATCAAGCGAATGAACCAAATTATCATATAAATTTTAAAAAAAAAAAGGATTAACAAAGAACCATCACAATTCAAGCCATACCTATTTACTTAACATTATAATAAAAAGAAAAGAAGAGAACTAATCCCATTTAGGTGACGCCAGACAATAACAGAAGGAGAGGAGGCTGGACCAAGGGGTGGGTGTGTGCTGGTTGGGAAAGGAGTAAGAGGGAGCACAGATAGATCAAAATGCAAATCTGGGTTGCATGTCTCTGTTTTGATGAATCATGGATGGACTATTTGCAGTTCTGTTTTAATTGTTTGCTTGACGAGGTTCATTCACTACTTAAAATAAAATTTACCAAGAGGCAATACCAAGTTCAAACTTGTGGCTTCTTTTGAGCCCACTTTATCTCTGCAACACGTTCGTCTTCTGTGTAAAATGTATTCGACCTTTAGTACGTAAACACTATATTCCCTTACTAACATGCATATAGTAAATCCTATTGAAAGCGGATTCAGAAACCCACTAGCCTATATGTGGCATGGGAGGGAGAATGCAGCTGTTTGCAATAAATTTTTCAAAGTGTGAACAATTAATTGCAATCACAAAATAAGAGAAAAATAATTTTATTAATCAATTGTCAATACAATTCTGTTTCTCCCTTGATTCTTCTCTCCTGATTATCTCCGTGATTCGAGGGCTAGAGCTTAGGGTGTGCATAATATGGTGAATACCGAATTACCGTATCGAAACCGACAATTTTCGTATATGGTATTCAGTATTTTGTTATTTGGTATGATATTTGGTTTATGTTTTTAAAATAATTTGGTATTAAGTATGGTTTGGTATTTAAAAAAATAATATCGAAATACCGATACCGTACCGAAATATATACTAAATTATACATTACAAATATTATTGATTAACATACTAAGTTACACAATACTTTTCTTTGGCATTCATGTTTAGGTTGGCAGTAAAGCCCATGTACTTCGTTAGGAAAATGGAGGAACAAGGTAGGATGTAGATTCTAATTCTTACTCTCGAGGTTGCCAAGCAGTTTAACGTAATATTTCAACGGTTGTGGGGTGTTTCTTACTCCGTTACTCTTGTATTGTTGTTGCATGTGTTGGATTAGTCCTTGTTGTATTCTCTAATTTCAACAATTAACTCTAAGCAAGTAACATGATATTTCTAGTGATTAAATGTATTCCTTTATGTACCTTTTTTTGTCTTAATTGATATTTGATGATTTTGGACAAAGATTTTGTCGTCAGATGAGAACATTTTCATTGAGTACTTTAATTAAGAATATTACAGTCTATGGCTCTATGCACTAGTTAATATTCAAGCCGAATAAATCGAGATACCGAACCGAATAAATCGAAATTGTAAGGAAAAAAGCCGAACCATACCGAATGTAATTAGATATGGTATTGATATAGCATTTTAAGAAACCGAATACCGAAAATACTGAACCGAAATGACTAAATAATGTATTGTACCGACCGACGAACACCCCTACTAGAGCAGCGTGTTTCTCAAATGTAATGATGCAGACCTTCTTGGGATGTATTTGATCTCCATGAAAGATGTCTCCATGAAAGGATGTGGTGTAGGTCTTCTCCAAGTATTTGATTCTCAAGTAGTATCCAACTGCATCTTGATCTCTTTGTGAATATCCCTTGAGTTTATGGGATTTTTGAGATGCTTCAAAAGGGAATTTGTGACCCATTTTATAGGTGTAAGGTAGGGTTTCAGGTAGAGTAGCTTCCAAGAAACCCTGATGGACTCCTAGTGTTTTAAGAGCAGGAAGAGGCTCGTCTTGTCGTGTCTTCAATTTAGGACTTAACCCAAATTTTGTATGGGTTCGATCCAAAGAGCAAAAGAGAGCTCGTTTATCAAACACCACAAATTTTTCGACAAGCTTCAAGTTTCAAGCGATCAAGTTCGAGTTCAAGAAATCAAGTTCAAGATCATGAACAAAATCATTGTAAGGTGTTCAAGGTCAAGATTATTTGTTCTTAACATAATCACTGTTCGTGGCAACCAACAAGGCGTTTGTCATGGATAAATCAAATCAAAATCAAGCTCAAAGACTCTTGAATTTATTCAGGTTGGAAAGAAGAATCAAAGGATTAATATAGATTGTAACACTCAAATTATTTGAAATAAAATACTACAATTGTTGCAATATTTTTCGGTCTTGATTATATTTTCTTAACGCAAATTTGTTGTCTACAAATTCTGGCATGCCTATTTTGAAGTTCAAAGAACGTCAAAATAGCTGCAAAGAACATTAACTCCAAATCAACTGCCACTAAGGCTGCTAATTCCAAGTTCTATGCTAATGTGGAAAGCATCCTTGATTTTACCTTTGAAAATTTTGGACCAGTTACAAGGAGCAAAGCAAGCTCTTTAGGACAACAAGCGCTCCAAGTGTCGTCCGCATCAGCCCCTGTTTTCGGATCTTCATCCTCAAAAGGAGGAAGATCCTCTACGAACGCACCTGAAGGAGGAGGCGATGTTGCTGAAAAGATTAAGAAAACTCTAGCTTTGCTTAACCTCTCCGAATCCATGAACTCTGTTGTGAAGGAAGATAATGATACTTCCAGTGATGGATCCTCCCCACTTACACTGCATAGCATGGGCCAATCGAGGATCAATCTCTGTGACAATCCATGTTACTCTTCATCGTCCATAATAATCATGCAAGCAATGGTGACGAACGCTTTATCTGTGAAGGAGCAATTGGCAAACTTGATAGAAGCAATTGTTGGCTTGACCAAGCGTATACAAAATTAAGATTCTAGAATTGACAAGTTAACGGATAGGCTGGGAATCTTGATGGAAGAAGAATCCATCCATGCACTTGGCAAGCTCCCAGAAGTTCCAGAGAGTGATTCTCCCCTGAGACAAGTAGCATCTGCTTAGGCTATCCCTGTCTCCTCTGAAAGGATGATTCCAATCGATCAACTAAAGGAGTTCATTGAAGGGACTATCAAAAATAAGTATGGAGTTGCTTCCAAATTTGTTGCAAACCTATGTTGCACGGACTCTCCAAAATGTTGCCGCACCCGTGTCGGATCCTTAAAAAATGCACTACTTTTGGAGGATTCGACACTCACTCGGCGATATTTTCGGATAGTCCGAGCAACATAGTCGCAAACAAATTGGCATGCTCACTGGGACCATAAATTTATCAAAATATGTTGACAATAAACAACAAATTTTTTGCAATTTTGATCTCTTTGTGAATTTCTCAAGAGTTTATGGGATTTTCGAGATGATCTTAACTTTCGAGATGTCTTTTCAAGGGAATATGTACCCCTTTTTTACAAGTATAATTTAGGGTTATGGTAGAGTAGCCTCCAAGCAACCTAATGGACTCCTAGGGTTTCAGGAGCAGGAAATGACTCGTCGTGTAGTTTCTTGAATTTGGGACTTAGCCCAAATTTCGTATGCTGATCCGTTAAAAGTTCGATGCATACAACTGCCCACTACTTCACGGTTTGTCGAAACTTGAAAACAAGACTTGAATTACCCGACCATTGCAACAGATAATTTTGAAACATGTGGTTTTGGATTTTCATGAGAAAGAGATGAAGGGCAGAATTGGTTCCACTAGGCGTGTCACTTTGTTTACAACTAAATTTTCGCAATTTTGATCTCTTTATGAATATCCCAAGAGTTTATGGGATTTTCGAGATGATCTCAATTTTCAAGATTTCTTTTAAGGGAATATGTACTCCTTTTTTTATAGGTGTAACTTACGATTATGGTAGAGTAGTCTCCAAGTTAGAGTTTCAGGTAGAGTAGCCTACAAACAACCTAATGGACTCCTAGGTTTCAGTAGCAGGAATGAACTCGTCTTGTAATGTCTTGAATTTAGGACTTAGCCTAAATTTCGTAGGCTGATATGATAAAATTTCGATGTCTACGGCAACAATGGTTGCACTTCTAGGATAATTAATAAAATTAGATATCCAGTCTCTGCCTATGAATTGTAGCACGATAGAATGAATGAAATGGGTATGCCATACATGTCATACTAACTGATTTCTCTCCTTCTATCTCTACACACAAACCTTTTTCTAATACATCAGCATTGTGTGTTAACTATCTGACTGTAGAGCGGATAAATGTGTGCTGGCGTCTTCAGGATTTCAAGCTGACGTGAGAGCTTTGCAAAAGGTTTTGGCAGCAAGGCATCTGGTAAAATACTGAAAACTTTTGCTAATCCTTTTTTCTTCAGACAGTTAGGTAGGGAGCATGTAAGCTGTCATCGTATTTACTTTCAGTGTGCTTCACTTGTTTGTGATCTTTTCATGTGGGAGCAGATGAACTTGTTGAGAACAACAGTATTGATTATTAGGTTGCATTATGTGCTTGCTTTATTATATGAAAAAAGGTTGCATTATGTGGTAGAAAGACCTCAATAGAGACCATAGTCTGATCTATAAGATTTAAATTTTTCTTTAGCCGGAGGAAATGATTGTGTCTAGTGTTTGCTTAATGCAGGATGTGGTTCATATGTAGGAGATTGTATAATTACATTAGAAAGTTTGGCTTACTTTTTAACAAAGAATTTGCCCCTAAGTGAGTGAATGAAAAATTAATTTTTGATCTAATTTGTATTGTATTTGGGTTTTTCAGGGATCATAAAAAGCGAATATTTAAAGTAAAAGACTACCAAGAAATAATAAAAACTAGTCCAATAACTGTAGAGCAGACAAGTACAGATTAAACTCTAAATACAATACAACAACAACATACCCAATCTTATCCCACACCGTGGGGTCTGGGGAGGGTAGTGTGTACGCAGACCTTACCCCTTCCTTGTGAGGATAGAGAGGCTGTTTCCAATAATAGTTTACTAATGCAATGAAATTCTCATATCAGGATCGTTGACACCACCTCCGGTCCTCCCCTTATATTTACATAACTTAGAAAAGCAATATTATTCACCATGGTAAACATTTTGCATGGAAGAATGGGACGAGGGGAGGAGTAATTTCGGAGCCACTTAATGTTGTCTAAATTTGCAAAGTAAAGGTGCAATCACTAGTAATTTACAATCCCCTATTAGTATTTACATTGTTAATGAGATATATCGGATATGACGTTCTGATGTTTGTTATTTGAAAATAGATCTACCAGCACCAGCACAATAAGCAGGTGAGCTGCCCAGCTATGGGCCAGCTGCTTTCAAACACGCTATACTACAAACGTTTCTTCCCATACTATTCTTTCAATGTTCTAGGTGGCCTTGACAATGAAGGTAATCGGTTATCGGTGGAAATGTTGTCTTCAGGTTATTTATTTGCAGTCTTTGCTGGTAAGAAGCTTATAGAATATCATTCGTAAATCTTGTAGGAAAGGGATGTGTCTTCACATATGATGCTGTTGGATCATATGAGAGGGTTGGCTACAGCTCTCAAGGTTCTGGTTCAACTCTGATCATGCCTTTCCTGGACAACCAACTGAAGTCTCCCAGCCCTCTCCTGCTGCCTGCCAAGGTTTGGTCCATACTTTAATCTATTTAAATTTTCTCACATAGATGAAGCATTGGAGATTCTCCTAAAAAATGAGGAGAAAGATAAAAACATGCTGTCTTTCTAATGAAGATTCCATGACCTCCGCAGGATGCTGTTACTCCACTTTCTGAATCAGAAGCCATTGATTTAGTTAAGACATGTTTCGCTTCAGCAACAGAAAGGGATATATACACTGTAAGTCATTTATATGATGCCTTTTAGGCAATCTGGTGTAGAATTCAAATTCGTTTACTTCTTGGACCTTTGGTTCATTAAGCACAACCAAACTTCCAATTGCCTTTCCCTTTTTCTCCCCTCTCCTCCAGCCCCTACTTTGGCTCTGCTTTACATATTTTACAAATACCCATTATGTGAGGTGAAATGTTTAGGTGGTCTTTTCCTATATACATAGTTGACGGGAGAAACTTAGTTTCACATGATTAGGAAAAAGCTTTCACTATCAACCATGTTACTCGGACTCTTCAAAATGTTGTTGGGTGCATGTCGGATCCTCCAAATTTAGTGCATTTTTGAAGGATCCGACACAAGTGCGGCAGCAGTTTTGGAGAGTCCGAGCAACATAGACTATCAGCCTATGTTTCTGAATATTTTGCTCTGCTTAATTGTAGGGTGACAGGCTGGAGATAGTCGTACTAAATGCTGATGGCATTCGTAGGGAAGAAATGGATCTGAGGAAAGATTAATTTCTTGTGTCTTGTTCCTGAATTTCTTGTTTCATTTAGCTTGTAAGGCAAGATCGCGTGTAGACAGTTAACTCCACCAGATATTTCTGTAGATCATTGCCTATCAGTTGTTAATTTTTGATCATCAAGGATTGTAATGAACTGAATTTCGTATTACAAAATATTTTGCTAAATTATAAAAAGACTGGCAGTTTAAACTAGTAATTTTAAAAAGGAGGTAAGAGGTTCAGAGGAGTTGGTGGGATTCGTTGTCAGCTTCTCCTACCAAGTGGTGTCCTTGGGAAACTATCTGTGGGGCTTCTTCCAAAGTGGATTTTTATTTATCTGGTAAGCTTTCCTAAGAAAGGAAACATTTTGGCTCAAATTGGTGTGTACAGTGGACAGCTTTGTGATCAAAATGGTGGTTCTGTTTCTTTAAATTATTATGAAAGGCTCAAATCAGCATCTTCTAACATTTGGCTAACGTCTCTTTCAAAATGATGATGATATATATATATATATATATATATATATATATATATGCAAGTGTATGGAAACTAGTGACTGGACGCTGATCACACACAATGAATCAGGTTATGGTTTAGTGATGTTTATATTTGGCTCTTTTTTGTCGTGAACTGGTTGCTTGCATGTACCTTACAAGTTTTAAGGGATGATTGGTAAGCTCAATCTTTCTTTTCTGTCCCACTAATTTGGCTGGAATAAAGCAGTTAATACTTTTTCTCTTAGAACATTAATGACCTTTCTTCAGATTTTAACTAGAGTCAAGACTCAACTTCAACCAAATATTGTCCGGGTGCGTACTTTTTGTCCATGAAATGCTATTTTTTCTTTTAAAAATTAACCTTTCTTCTGATGCCTTTGTTGGAGCATATTGCCAGCTTTTGTGATGTTGAAATAACTATACTAGAAAAGAGAGATGACCTGGAATTAGGCTTGGATTGAGACCCAAAATGATCTTTCTCCACAAATAGCACTATGTAAAGCCCACACTTATCCTAATCAAAACGGTGGTATCCTACATCTAAAGTGCAACTTTTTACGGAAAAGGTTCGCATGCTAATGCTGTTGTAGTTTGACCTCATTTGGTTAAAACCTCTCTTCAATATATTTATTTGATGAATGGAAACAAAGTGGCATTTTCGAATATACTTCATGTTTTTCTCATGGATTTATGTTGCCCCACTAGCCACTAGTTATATTTTATTAAAAGCACGATCATGGATTTCTGCTTGTCACAATTTGGACCACTTTAGGTTCCTTTTATAGAAACTTTAGAGCTCATACAATGGGGTATAGGTAATAGGACAAGTGTCAGCCTCAGACGCTATAAAGTACTTCATTTAATATATCCAACGGTAGTTTGGCTTACCAGCACACCTATAACACCCCCCCCCCCTCCCTGGCTGAGATCTCTTATTATTTACGGAGTACTAAATTTTTCCTTTATCCATGTAAGTTTTGCTGTCCTTTCCATGTGTACAAAGAGTACAAAGCGCCTTTAGCATTATTTAATTCTTTTACCTTATTTGATTAAAACATCTAATTTAAGTTGGTTATGGAAATTAGTCTTTTGGCTAGTTTCAACTTTCAACCCAAAACAAACTTGGTTTTTCCTTCCCCCCCAACCCCCACCGCCAAGATTTTAATGATTCCTTTTTCTTTCAAAAAGACCACACCAAAATCAATACCAAAATAAAATCTAGAAGCCGTCTACTATTTGAAGGATCTCAGTCGTTATAATTTCCAATTCCTTGTAGAAAAGGAAATTTGTAGGAGTCAGAGTAAAATTTAGTGCTACTATTAATAGTTCATGCAAGTATTACGAAGCTGTCTGCTTTTGCCAAGTGGTGAAAAGGTTTGTGGAAATTAAGATGGCGAGTTTGTCAAGCATTCCTTCAGCCTCGTCAATGTTCCAGGCCTACGCCTCAATGACTGCTTCAATTACCCTTTTTAAGACAATGCTGAACCAAGTGGTACCCCGCCAAGTCCAGCACTATATTGTCTCCAAACTTCGCAGTTATTATCGTCCTCATTCATCAAACATAACTCTGGTTATAGGAGAAAAAGATGGCATAGCTATCAACGAAGTCTATAATGCTGCTGAAATTTACTTGTCAGCCAAATCCAGCCCTGAATTTCAACGTTTCAGAGTTAGCAAAATACCCAAAGACCCAAAAGTGAACGTAAAATTCGGCAATTGTGGAAAAATTACTGATTCTTTTGAAGGGATTCAATTGGTCTGGAGATACGTTCACGAAGCTGGCTCAAAGAACTCCTCACAATACGGTGATTCTGGTCGTGGTAATTTTGCTTCTGAGAAACGTAGTTACTTTGAGCTAAGCTTTAAAAAGCAACACAAGGAAAAAATCGTGAATTGTTACATCCCTTTTGTACTTGAAAAAGCCAAAGTCATGTCTGATGAGAAAAAGGTTGTCAAGTTGAATTCTCTAGCTACTTGTAGTTCTATACTTTGGGATTCCGTCAACCTTGAGCACCCTTCAACTTTTGAGACACTAGCATTAGAACCAGCACTGAAGAAAGCCATAATAGAGGATCTTGATAGGTTTTTAAACAGGAAAGAATTTTACAGGAGAGTAGGAAAAGCTTGGAAAAGAGGATATTTATTGTATGGACCACCAGGGACAGGGAAATCAAGTTTGATTGCAGCAATAGCTAATTATCTAAAATTTGACATTTATGATTTAGACTTGTCTCATATAAGGCGAGACTCGGATTTGAGAAAGTTGCTGTTGAGCACCAAGAATAGGTCTATAATTGTCATTGAAGACATTGATTGCAGCGTTGATCTGCCTGAGAGAACTCAAAATCGCACTAAGGATGCTGAATATGGTCGTTCACGAGATCGTGAGGTTAGTTTCCTCGTCACTCAAATTCCTTCCTTTTTTTTATAACGTGGTATCTGCGCACCTTGACTAATTCCACGGGAATTCCTTCCTTATATTTGAATCACGTAATCTAGTGTTGATTAACTATATTATCCTTCATATTGTACTTGTAGTACTAATTATCATGAATATACGTGCATTGAGACTAGACTACTACGTCATATGTATGTGTGTGGACTGTGCAGAGTATTGAGAGAGAGAGAGTAGCAAGGGTAAAATTACTTAATTTTTCTTGTATGAATTTGAATTTAGATTCTTCCAACTTTCTGAAATAAAATTTATAAATTTGGAAAATTAAATTATAAGGCACTATTTTAGTAATTCAAAAATTTATAAAATATCATATAAGATGGAGTAATTGGCACGCACCTGAAGATTTTGGTAATATTATAACTGGCTTATTAAGGTGGCTTTTGTGGATATATAATAGTCACAACAATGCTCAAGCACAAGTGGCCTTTTTTGGAATCAACTTGTGTACCACTAATGCCAAAGGCCCTTTCATCTTGGACAAATTTCAAAATGCCTACCATTAGGACAAAATATGATAAGGCAAACTGTTTTGTTAGTTAAGCCTGCTTAGTCTTTTTTGTCGAACAGGGGTGCAACGTTATAATACTTATCCTGTCCTTCTGTTTGAAGGACATCTTTTGTCCTTGTCTTGTAATCTTTGGAGATAAGGCCACATTCCTGTCTATCATTTCAAGATAGTACAACACTCTCAGTTAAACTGGGAATTAATTAAAAAAATAAAAATAAAATAGTCCCTCATTTGTGTTGACTTGTTAAAAATGGCAGCGCGGTGCACGAATCATCATGTATTTATGTAGGGGTAGGGAAGAACTGCACCTTAAGGGGTATGATATAGGCAGTCTACCCTGATGCAAGTACCAATAACTGATTCCACGGCTCGAACCTGTGGCTTATAGGTCTGTGTTGACACCTTTTTTTTCCCCTCCTTTTACAGCTTACACTTGGTGGATTATTAAACTTCATAGACGGGCTATGGTCAAGCTGTGTAGATGAGCGGGTTATTATATTTACCACAAATCACAAAGAGAGGCTTGATCCAGCTCTGTTGCGACCTGGACGAATGGACATGCACGTCCATATGTCGTACCTAACAAGTGAAAGTTTTAAGGTCTTGGCCTCTAATTATCTGGAAATTCACGATCCTCATCAGGGTTATTTTCAAGAAATACAAGAGTTGATTGAAGGTGTTCAAGTTACCCCTGCAGAGGTTGCTGAGGAACTTATGAAGAGTGAAGATGCCGATGTTTGCCTTGGAGGTCTTGTCAATTTTCTTAAGAGAAAAAGGATTTGTAATAATATTACTGAAGAGGTGGAGATCAAGGACAATAATACTACTCCTACTGATGAAGGGGTACAACTTCCGCAAGTAAAAAGGAGAAAACCAGCTTAGAGTATATATAGCATAATTCAATTTATTCCTAAAGTAGAAAGATTAATTTGTGAGTGAGTTTAAGCCTTTGGTTATGCCGCAGAAGATTTTGCTTTTACTTTTTCTTGTTGGTATTCGATTGAATGGTTATGTGCAAATAGTGTATAATTGGTCAAAGTAAAGACAAAGTAAATAGGGATTTTCATACTACGAAGAAAAATAGGATTGAAATCTTCGGGCGTTAACTTGGAAAAAAGTTGCCATTTTCACACTATGTTGGAAAATTGATTCACTGGTTCACATGGCATGGATCATGATGTATAGCTTTATGGCAATCCCCAACTTAATCGAAGACTGTCGAAAATTGGCATTATCGAAAGTATTTTAATTGGCTTCTCAGTTAGGTTTAAAAAGAACCATTATTACAGAGTGGCAAGAGTACAAGTGTCAAATTATTGGTACAACGTTATTAATTATTAAATGAACAATCAAATGTATGCCATATGACATTGTGTTCGACAATTGCCAAACACTTGTCCTTATCGAAAAGAGTCGCAAACACAAATTTTAATAACTGGGGGCTTAAAGTAAACTGCCACGTGTAATTGGGACCGGATGTTTGGTAGAAGTGAAGTGTTTGTGAGTATTCTATTTATAAGAAAAGTTTACATGTTTTTTTATTTTTTTTTTTTTTTATTTTTTTTTTTTTTTTATAATTTTATAGGATTGTGCATTCACGTGCTTTGTTTTACAAAGCTGTTGATCTTTAAAAATAGCAGGGGATTCTTTTTTGAAAAAATTCGAAACAAACAAAATTAAATCATATAATTTTCTTAACATGTTTATTGTTTTTCAAGTACTTTCCAAAAAGCATTTGAAAACTTTTCTTCGAAAAATATTGTGTCTAATCTTCGCTAACTTTGAGAATATGGAGTGCCGGTTAGAAAGAAAAAAATAAAAAAAAATTAACTTAAATAGTCATTCACCTAAAATAATAGTCGAAACATACATATAATATATAACATTAATACAATAAATGGATATTGGCTAAGAGATATAACTATTTTTGGCCGAGTTCAACTCTCTAACTTCCCCAAGAAATAAACACCAAATTAAAAAAAGATTATGGTAAAGAATATCCAGCTAACTTAGAGCCCGTTTGGACATAAGAAATTTTTCACTTTCTTTTGATCTTTTACTTTTTTTCGAGGTCAGCGTTTGATCATAAAATTTTCAATTTTCACTTGAAAATGCATTTTGAAATTTTTCGAAAATATGAAAAACTCCAAAAGGCTGTTTTTCAAAATTTTCGCTCAGATCACTCACAAAACTTAAAAAGAACCCAAAATTAAATTTATGTCCAAATACAACTCTAATTTTCAAATACCATTTTCACTTGAATTTTTTTTTCCACTTTTTTTTTTTGAAATTTTACAATGTCCAAACGCCCACTTAGTTCCTTAATACCTAAGATTGTAAAAGTGTGTTTAAAAAAAAATAGCTCTTGTCACTATGATCTTATTCCATTAAGTCAAGGAAAGTTGCTTTTGATTTTCTTATAGTTATTCGCAAAGTAACGAAACTTCTTCATCTTCATTGAAATTGTGTCTTAATCCTTTTCTCTTCCTTCCCGATTGATGTCCTTATAATCTAATGATTTAGTCACAAAAGAAGAAAATAAAAAAGAAGGGTCAAATTGTATGATCAACCAAGAATGCACTAAGGATTCTCTATGCGTGGTGCCCAAGTACAAATAGAGGTACAATTCCAATATAGAAAGCCCACATTTCTTATCATACAACTACCACTAAAAATAAAATTTAATTTATAACCATATAAAATTAAATTACTTACTTGATTTGGATAAACAGTAATCTGATCAAACCCATTACAGCTAAGATCTACCCATATATTCGTGGCGACCAAGTTCGCTAGTATATCGTTCAATAGCTGTTGAATCCTCAACTTCCGCGTATAAATACACAACCTATGACTACAACTCTCCCTATCTTTTATCATAACTGAGTTCAATAAACCTTCTGTTCCCCGAGTCACAACACAACACCGAGTCCACCAAAAATGTACGACGTCTCAAAAATGCAGAACACAGCATCAACCTTATTCTCGGCGTACGCTTCTTTAGCGGCGTCTATGATGCTTGTTCGCACTATGGCTAACGATCTCATCCCTAAATCTCTCCTCACTTACATCCAATCAGCTATCAGTTATCTCTTCACTCCGCTTTCCAGCCAGCTCACTATCATCGTCGACGAACAGTGTGGTATGACCAGAAACCAAGTGTACGAAGCCGCCGAAATTTATCTCCGTACAAAGATCGGCCCAAACGCTGACCGAGTCCGGGCCCACAAAACCCCTAAACAGAAAAACATCAACGTTAGCATAGAGAAGGATGAAGAGATCACTGATGTATACGGCGTCGTACAGTTGAAATGGAAATTGGTTTCTGTTGAGCCTCAAGACCGAAGTTATACCCCAGAGAAAAGATTCTTTGAGCTCAGTTTTAATAAGAAGTTTAAAGAAAGTGTGTTGAATGAGTATTTACCTTTTGTGTTGACTAAGGCTAAGGAAATTCAAGATAATGATAGGGCTGTAAAATTGTATACAAGGGATTGTCCTTGTGGTAGTGATGATGATGGGTATGGGTATGGAGGTGGGGGTGGTGGGGTTTGGGGTTCAATAAACTTGGACCATCCTGCTACTTTTGATACTTTGGCTATGGAACCTGATATGAAAAAGATGATAATTGAAGATCTTGATAGATTTGTGAAAAGGAGAGATTTTTATAAGAAAGTTGGTAAGGCTTGGAAAAGAGGGTATCTTTTATATGGACCTCCAGGAACTGGGAAATCTAGCTTGATTGCTGCCATGGCCAATTACTTGAAGTTTGATATTTATGATTTGGAACTTACCAGTTTGTATTCTAACTCGGAATTAAGAAGGATTTTGATCTCCACCTCGAACCGATCTATTATTGTGATTGAAGATATTGATTGTAGTGTGGAAATGCACGATCGAAATCTTGGGCATCAACCCGCTGACACTAAGGTCTGATTTCATTTCCCCTTTATCTTTTTATTTTTTTGAAATGTTAAATAGTATTTTTTTCGTCCTAATTTATATGATGTGGTTTGACGGTTAACACAGAGTTTGAGAAAGAAAGAAAGATTTTGAAGCTTGTGGTTTGAAATATGGTTGTACATGTTTGTGTGACTATAAATTAAATTATTTTTTGACAGACTAGATTTATGTGACGAAGGGAGTATTTATGTAATCTAGTGTTTTATTTGTTAAATTTATGAGATGAGTCAATTTCTCAATGTTGATTTGTGTTTTTACTGCAGTTAACGTTATCTGGTTTGTTGAACTTCATTGATGGATTGTGGTCCAATTGTGGGGACGAAAGAATTATTGTATTCACAACCAACCGTAAGGAGAAATTAGATCCAGCACTATTGAGACCTGGTCGAATGGATATGCATATTCATATGTCCTATTGTACTAATCAGAGTTTCAAGATTCTGGCTTTTAACTACCTAGGCATCCGTGACCATAGACTATTCGAGGAAATTGAAGGCCTAATCAAGAATGTAGAGGCAACCCCTGCAGAAATTGCAGAGGAACTCATGAGAAGTGAGGATGCTGATGTTGCTCTTGAGGGAGTGGTTAATTTGCTCAAGCGAAAAGCCGATGAAGCCAATCGAATCAAGGACGAGAAGAGTCCGAGCACCCCAGAAGTCGACGAGAAGGACGAGATTGAGGAAGAAAAGGTTGATGTAGGTGAAATTCAAGAAGCTAAAAGATTGAGAACTGAAATGTTGGTACATACTTTGAGAAACCAAAGGAGAGGAAGAATGAGAATTGGAAGACCGAACAGAGGAAGAAGAGGGCGTTGGTGAGGGAAAATGATTTGAATGGTATAGGTACTATACTTCTGCTATTTCGTGATGCTTAATGTGTAAAAAGATGCACTTCATTTTTCTTGTTTTTGATCAAATAGAAGTGCACGGTAATGAGTAAATAAACTAATTGCAATGCAGAGGGGATTGGGGGGCTTTCGGTTATGTACTACTGTATGAATCTAATATTATTACTCCTAGTACCGTATTAGCATTTTATGGATCAATTGTAGTACATATGTTTTTCACTGAAGGGAGCCTCGGAGCAACGATAAAATTGTTTCCATAAAATCCATAGGTCACGAATTCAAGCCGTAAAATTAACCTTTGATGCTTGCGTCAATTTATATTGACCCTCATCCGGACCCTGTGTTAATACGGGTTACTTTATGCATCGGACTGCTCTAACGACTTTCTGTTGGGTCGCAGGATAAATAGCTAACTCTAATAAGGGTATATCTCATGGCTGCTTTTGAATTGCCCCAAGACTAGAGATGGCAATTGTGGCGGGGCAGGGCAGGGCAAGCTTTGACCCACTAAAATTTTGATCCGCCCTGCCCTGTCCTGTTTAGCCTTTTTCCTAATTTTTGCCCTGCCCCGCCCCGTTTAGATTCTCATTCAATTTTTTTTTTCTCTTTATTATTTATTTATTTAAAATAGACATGTAAGTAAAAATATTTTATTGACATGAAATATTTTCTTTGTACCAGTTGAATAAAATATCATTTTTATCAATATTATAGTATAGTCTATTAAAGAGTTAATCCCCTTAAATTAATGCTTCAGCTCAAGTAAATGCTACTGTTTTGGAACTGTTTGTTTCCTTCCATTATCATATTGGAATCTCTGTTTCTCATTTAATCTATATATACTCCTAGTGGATCTTTTCAGAAATCAAATTCTTTTTATAATCTTATTATTAACAGTTTAGCTTATGTTGATTTTAAGCTAATGGCCAATAGCCAGACGAATACTGGACAAAGTCAATATATTCAATATTTTTCTTCAATCTAAGTCAAATCAAATTTGTAGCCTGTTTGGCCAAGCTGCAAAAATTAGCTTATTTTAAGAAGTGCTTTTTTTCAAAAGTGTTTTTTTTCCAAAAGTACTTTTGGTGAGAAACAATTTGTGTTTGGCTAATTAGTTTGAAAAGCACTTCTGAGCAGCAATTAGTGTTTGGCCAAGCTTTAAAAAACTGCTTCTAAGTGTATTTTTCTCAAAAGTGCTTCTCAAAAAAGTGCTTTTGGAGAGAAGCTATTTTTTTCTGCTTCTCCAAAACTGCTTCTGTTTCTCATCAAAAGCATTTTTTTTTCCTTCCAAAAGCTTGGCCAAACACCTCAATTTTTGGCCAAAAGTGCTTTTGGCAAAAAAAAACCACTTTTGGTCAAAAAAAAGCTTGGCCAAACAGACTATTGAACGTTAAAAAGAAATGCTTCTTTGCTAGTTCCATTAGACTGTGAAAGTAGCACAAGTAAATAATGGTAAATCTGGAATGTAAAGAGAATGAAGGACAACCTATTTGCTCCATATCTTCCCCTGCCCTCCCTAACCCATCATTTTTTTTTTCAAAAATAATATTTTGCCCCGTACCGCCCTGCCCTGCCCCGCCCCGCCCTATTTAGATCTTCCTCTGCCCCGCCCTACCTTGCTTCGCCCCAATTGCCATCCCTACGGCCAAGACAAATAATTTATAGAATTGGGGTTTAGTTGACAAGGATCTTCCTCGAGTCATTCAAATATTTATTCTACTTCTGATTTTTTGAGATTCAGATTAAGTGAACTTTGAACATTCTATTATGTATGTTTCACCATTTTAAATGGTATTGCAAGTTATCATGTAGCTTCACTATAAAAGATGGTAATAAATTAACTTAATCAAATTTACATAACAAAAATCCAGTAAAAATCCCACAAGTGGGGTCTGGGGAGGGTATAATGTATGCAGACCTTACCCCCTACTCCGGAGGAGTAGAGAAGTTGTTTTCAAAAGACCCACGACTCAAGAAGAAGAAAATAAACAATAGACAATAGACCAGTGACATCAACAGAAACTAGAAAAATAAAATAATATCAGCATCGTAAAAAACAGAAAATAAATGTAAAAGCAATAACAATAAAGCAGTACTAATGCCATAAAAAATAGTGTGGAAGCTACATAAACCACTAACAACCCAAGGCGAAACATTATCGGCCTAGTCCCGCCCCGAAAAAGACATAGAAAAATACTCGACTCCCTCCTAGTTTTAATTTAATTTTAAAAATTCGTTTAATTTACATCCGTTAAACAAATCGGACCCCAAGACTATTCATCAAATTCAATTTTAAAAATTAGTTTAATTAACATCCGATAATCAGATTCAGACCCCAAGACTATTACTTAAAGGTTTTAGGACCCAAATGGTCCATGTCAGCCAATTATGGGTGATTGACTACAACGACGGGGCTGGTCTTTAAATATTACTATTTGTTTTTATGTGTTTTAAAAATGACAGGGATTTTTCATTCGGATGGTTAGATTTTGTGCTATATTTACCCTATCTTTTTTTTTGGTTAAAAGGGTGGATATTTATATAACTACTAGACAAAAGGTACATTACATAGTACTGTCATTGCTGAGGTACTGTAGTTCCCACATCAGCGCGATGTTTTGAGATACAGTTTCAATATTACATACCAAAAAATTCCTAACAACTTCAGTTCCTAGGATGTCTGCGCAAAATACATCATTTGCAAACATTGGAGGAACTGCTAGTAAGCTGGATCTACCCAAAAAATTGGCTTTGCTGCTTCTTTTGCCATTGCGTCTGCCACCCTATTCTGCTCCCGGTACGTGTGCCTCACCACGACCCTGTCCATCCTTTGCATTAACAACCTACATTCACAAATTATAGGATCATATGTTAGGTTACCTGTAAGTAATATTTGTATTATTTCTGCCGAATCAGTGTTGATGTCTAAAGGGACCCAAGCATTTTGTTCAGCAAGCTGCAGTCCATTTAGGAGGGCTTTCAATTCAGCCAAAGTGTTGGTTGTATGTGGTATATTCTCCATATACCCCATAATCCAATCCCCGTTATGGTTTCTGAATACTCCACCTATTCCTCATATGCCTGGGTTACCCCTTGCGGCCCCATCTTATTCAGCTTAAAGAAACCTCTTCTGGGGGGCTCCTATTTTGCAGTGATTTGGAATGTTTTTTTGATGGTTGTATTTTTTACCAACATAAAGTATTCAATTGCTTTAGAGATGGTGTTGGTAATGCTGATTTTATCTTTTTTATTGTTGAACAAGTTGTGGTTTCTGCATAGCCAGATATGTCAGAAACAGAAGGGGAGGATGTTTTCCCAAGGAATGTGATCATTAAAAGGTGTGTTTCTAAGCTTGTTCCAAGTTAAAGGCCATTGTTGAGATGAAAAGATGGGATTTTGTTGCCTACTCTCAATAGAGGTCTTGGATAGCAATTCTTGCCAGAACTGGAATGCATTAATGCATTCAAAGAAGATGTGGTCGCTTATTTCTTCAAAACTTTGGCAGAAGCAGCATTGTGGGTTACAGTTAACCCCAACTCTGTGAAGGTAGCCTCCAGTAGGTAACCTTTTGTGGGTAAGGAGCCAGATGAAGTTCTTGATTTTGTTGGGTGCTTGTAATTTCCAGATCCAATTAAAGTTCCCTTCCTCCATTTCAACATTGTTTTTGGTTTTGCTAAGGAAAGTGTAGGCAGAGCTGTTGGTGAAGGACCCACTAGGAGTTAGTCCCCAGATTAGCTTGTCTTCCTTGGTAGGGTTTAGAGGAATGAAGACAAAATTGATCATGTTAGAGATACTTGGGGGCAAATCCATAGAGATGGGGGAGAGATCCCAATTTCCTGAGTTGTAGACAGTGTCTACTTTGGCAATTATGTCATTTTGAGTAAGAGGGCCTTATATCATGTCCCTGATGGCTGGTGATTGGGGATCCAAGCATCGTTCAAGAAGCTAACCCTGTTTCCCTTGTGGACCACCCATCTGCTAGCCTTCCTGCAAGTATCCCAGCCCTTGAGGATGCATTGCCATGTGGAAGATTTAGGGGATCTAAGGGTTCTAGGTGTATGGTTCCAATTACAGTGCTTAGATATGAGAACTCTAGCCCATAAGCTTGATGTGTTGTGACAAATCCTTCAGGCTAGATTTGCAAGGGTTGCTTTATTTTTCAATTCATCTTTTTGGAGCCCTAGCCCTCCATTGGCCTTCTGTTTTGTAACCCTGTCCCAATTTATTAGGTGCATTTTTTTCCTATTTGGTGTGGTGCCCCAAATAAAATTTCTTTGAATTCTGTCAATTTTCTTGGTGATTTTTATGGGCATATTTACTCTATCAATATTATACATAACTATTCTTGGTATAATATTTTTTTCTTACTAACCAAACATCGAAAAATAAGTAATTAATTACGTTCTAAGAAAATATTTTCCTTCGTAGCAAATACACCCTAATTCACTATCAGCACTGAGAGAACAAGATTTAGGTTGTGTTAGAATAGGCCAGTGGGTATAGGCTAATGTTAGACCCATTATATTGGGCCATATGTTGTAATTTATCCGGGTAGCCAAGTTTAGAGTATCATAGAGTGTTAAGTTCCGGGTCATATAAATACATTGGGCCCAGTCTTCAATTAGACAGAACATTTTATATTTTCTCTTCTGATATAGAAAGCATCTCAAAGTTTTCTCTCAAACCAAACATGAACCCTAAATTTCATTCTTCGGATTCCACATAATTTCTACATGTTTACATGGTATCAGAGCGTAGATTCTGGTGAATCTCTCTCCCCGCTTTCGATTGATCCTACCCTTGATGATTTTAGTTGACATTTTCTAATCGCGACAGTGATCTCTGCATCTGTGATTTTAGGGTCTCTGCCAAATCTGAAGTGTTTCTTCCGATTTCTATCTATTGAGGCTATTTGTGGTTTGGTTCTGAAAAGCAAAACACCAATTTTGGAGGATTTCGTGGATTCTTTTCAAATTAGGGATTTTCCGTCCAGCTAGGGGTTCCTCGGAGCTTCGATTGGTAAATCTGTGACCTATTTTGAAGGCAATTCTCTTTTCGGTTGCAAAAGAGGGGGTAATCTCGTTCCTTCTGACAAATCTTCTTGCATGCCTATTGTTTTGTGTTGATTTTCATTCACTTGCTTTAAAAATGCCAAACGAGACTTCTGTACCTTCTACTCCTGTACCTACTCGCGTACCTTCTACTGTCTCTCGTGAGCCTCCTG